TCCTTCTCTCTCTCAGGTCTTGGGCAAGAAACGAAAAACGAAAATGTTACAAAATGGAACAATCAACTTTAAAAAGTATTTAATAAATCTTTTTAATTTTTAATTTTGTATGTAATAGGTTCACAAACTTTACAAGTGTCTAATAAATCTGTAATCTATTCGACATTTTTAAAAATTAATTAATTTATTAAATATAAAAATTATAATTATAAATTTTTGTCTAATATGTCAATGAGTTTTTTTTAATTCTTATATATTAAGAATTTATTTGACACAAAATTAAAATTTTATAGACCTCTATTATTTTATAGGTTAATTTTAGTGTTTTATTTTAACCATCAACTTGGTAAATCAATTTTTACTCGTTGCATTGCAACTTCAAACTTTGGATAAATGCTTAACTTTAAAATATTTGTAAATGCTAAGGGTGCAACATTTATCCCCATCTTAGTGGTGGCTTTAAAAAAACATCATGATTTAACTCAGATTATAAATGTAATTCTGGCTCTATTTATCGTCACATTTGGTGTAACCGGAAAAGTTGACCCATTACGTATGGATTCAATTGAGAGACAAACTTCCATACTTAGATATATACTTTGATTCAATATTTGCCTGATTTATATTATGGATGAGAAAATCCTATTTTCTACCATTCGATATATCTTGATGACTTATATTTCGGAAAAGATATGATTGTCTCAAGATTCTCTAAATTTAGATAATCAGATTTGTATCGGGATTCGAATTCCACAATTCCAGTGATCATGATTCAAGGAAGTAAATCACAGTATACTACAAATTCCTATTATTTGAGATGTCACAACACTCTATACTTTATACTCAACTACTTCGATTCTGACTAAGCATGTACCACACCGGTCCTATTTTGTTTTGCAGGTCCGGTCTTTAGTGCTATTCTGAGGTCTCATGGGTACGAATTTGGTGGAATCCTAGAACAATTCATAATTACGGTTGTTTTTTAAGCAATTGAAAATCAAGCATGGGATAAATATTAATCATTGGTGATTAATTTATTTATTGGAAAAAAAAAACAATAATGTTTTATTTGTTTTTCACTTATGCAACAATCATCAATTATTTACATGCATGATCAAAACGAACATGTAATTGACATATATCTCCCATCAAGAGGTTGTGAGTTCAATCCCCTACTCTCACATGTTGTAGTAAAAAAAGAAAAAAATATATTTACATGCACGATATTAACTTAATCCCAATGGAGATTATCATAGTAATCATTAATTGGGCGTGTGATAAGTTTTTTCACATCGGAGTTACTAATTTTTAATAATTTACAATAAAACCTTTTTATTTTTGGTGGCAAAGAAACCCTTTTGTTTTAATTTTAAATTAAAACAAAATAGCAAATAAGGCTTCTGGATGATTTTTAAAACGATGAAAAGTGCTTTTTAACAATAAAAGTATATATTTGTTTTATAATTTCCATAGTATTTAAATAAATAATAAAAAGTGCTTATGACAATTATAAAATACTTAAATAAATATACTAAGTAGTGCTTAATTTCTAACTTAAAAAGCTGTTTTTTTTTCAATCATTATAAACTCGGTATAAATCATAATCGATTATATAAATTTTATCATCAGTGTAAAAAAGTTATATATATCCTTTAAAAAATATGAATAAAAGTAATTTTTGTCTCAGACTTTCTATTTTGACCTTATACTATTAGCTTTCTTAATTTATATTGAGAGAGAGAGAGAGAGAGAGAGACAAATTGTGGCTAGTTGAGCCTCATAGTTCACTTTCAACTGGGCTGGCCCACCAAAATTTGGCCCGGCTCAACGGAGCCCAATTCATTTTGTGAAGAGCTTCTTCGTGCATCTTAAATTAAAGTAATTACGTTAATATAATATTTATTTATTTATTTATATTTTTAATAGTCACTGATATCGGACATCAAAGAACTTTCTCACTCACGCGTTCTCTCTGGTCTCTTTTCATCACATCTACAGGGAATCGAACCAGGGAGTTCACTCCTTGGCAAGGCAAGCTCTCAGACTATGTAGCCTTAATGGCATCTCAAGTTTAATAAAATATCCTCTCTAAAAAAAATAGTCACAGATACGACATTAAACAAACTATGGAATATATATTTTGATTGCAGAGGTTGGCCGATCCTGATTTCGCATGATTTGAGGGATGGAGTTTTTCTTCAGCATTTTTTTTTTCTTTTTTTAATATAGTGATTAAAATAGATTTTTGTTTTATAGGATAGTTGTAAGTTCATATAGTAAAAGCAATAATTGAGGAGAGAAGTGAAATATGAATATCGATATAATACGAGAAGCTCTATATTTCTACTGCACTAGATTCAGCAATACTAAAAAAGAATGGAGAATCCATACTATTCCGATGATAATAATTCATCTACTAAACATTGATTTTTTTTAGACAATCTAATAACATTAATTGATTAATTTGTTATTGAGCTTTTATTCTATTCAATCTATAAAGTTTTATACGATCATTTTTACTAATTAAATGGTGACACGACATGATTATTATTAACTTGAGTATAATTAAATAGTTAAAAGACAGCTTAGCTTACAGCATAGCGTGTTCACCACCACCCCGGCTGGCTGGTGCATTGGCCTTACAGTAATAGGGCCGAGAAGTATGACCCTTCGATTAGAACGTCCCATATCTCGTGACACGCGGAGCGTGACATTTCCTTTTAGTTAGTCCGTCTAACTTCTCACAAAAAAATGCATTATTTATCAAGAAAGTACCATTCAAATCGAGCTTTTGCACATTTTTGTTAATCCATGAACAAGATCTCTCTCGACACATAGATCCATGGATCCACACATCTCAATCGGAAAAGAATCAATTGAAAAAGAAAGAATTAGAATTGATCGATATATTTCTCTCGAAACAAACGAAAAGGAAACGAAAGACGAAATATAAATCATTCAAATTTTCATTCTCTATAATGTAATATATAAGTATGTCGTATTTGGATAAATGTGGGCCAACTTAAGATCAAATAAATTACAAGGTAAAATAAATCACTGAGTAGGAATTTGATTAAAATAGACGATGAAAATAAAAATCGATAAATAATTAGGTAACAAATACAAATAGGAAATACTCAAATGGTAAATTTTCAATTTCGAGATTATTCTTTTTCTTTTTTATTTTTTAATAAATTTAAAGAGTTTCAAATATAGCGGGTTCTTATAAAGGTTTCAAACGTAGACGTTGATAAAAATGTCAATAACCCAATTTTATGGAGACGTTAATGAAAATATCAATAAAATGTTGATGTCAATAGATATTTATAAAAAATCATAAAAATAAAAATTTCACAAAAAATAGTTAAATTAACAAATAAGTATTTCCATATTTTTAAATAAGTGAAAAGTCACATTTAATAATATTATGTCTATATTAATGATATCTTTTAATATTTCAATGATGTATATATATTTTTTAATATTATTAAAATGTCTCCTTACCCAAAGTTAAATTCATGAATATATGAAAATGTTGGTACGTGCACATAAATTTAGTACTTATTATTATTATTAATTAATTCAGTACCTATTATTTTTAGAAAGAAAAAGAGAAGAAGAAATAGAGTACCTTCTTATACATTTTAAGAAATTTGATTGATTGGTCAACGAAAATAAGAAGAGATTTGATTGGAAGTAGTTCGTTGTCAACCCAGTCAAGAACCAATAGTTTATTTTCGTTTATTTTTCTTCTTTTTTTTTTTATTTGGACAAGAAACAAAAACCCTTCGGTAATAATGGCACATAAAAGCAAAATTTTAATTCCGACTTTTTCTCATTCGTACGTTATTTTTAATAAAAATTAAACTAATTTCGTACCTGTTTAAAAATTAAATACTACTTTTAGTTTTGCTTCCTTTTAATTGGTATACTTTTTATTTCGTAGCATTTGACTCAATAATTTTTTTTAGAAATAGTGGTAAATTTATATTAAAATTTTATTATGTTGTTCATAAAATTTTAATTAAAATTTGACAAATATAAAAAAAATTATCAAATTTTAAAAGTATAAAACCAAAATAGACCTTTCAAAAGTATATATAAAAAATGAAAAGTACACATTAAACGTTTTGAAAGTATATGCACCAAAATTAATCAAAACTACGAATACATAGATCAAAATAGTATTTAAATTGCCCTATTTTTATATATGACATTTTATTTTTAAAGTATACATAATATATACTTTAAAGGATAATCAAAATTAACCAAAACTAAAACTACAGTATTTAAATCAAGATTGCATTTAAAAAAAAAATTTAAACCCAGATCAAGGATTCAAACATAAAATAACTAAAATAGTATAAATTTTCATCCAAATAAATATTATACTTTCTAAAAATGTTAGAAATGTAATTTAAAAAATTTTGCTGATGCAATAAATAAAAAAATGTATCTCAGAAAAAAGAAAAGAATGAAAATGAAAAAAAGGAGGAGAACACAAGATAAAATTAAATTAGTTTAACGCTTTAATTTACGATTTATTATAAAATTTTCTCCTGCCCAAAGCTGAAAGCCATTGTGTTAAAAGTTTTTTCTTAAATTCCAATTCCAAAATCCAAACTCTTCGCTGTAAAATAAAAAAAATAGAAGAATTTGATTGAAAAGCCTTCGGGTTGTGCTAGAATTGGACAATTCTGAACGTTGAATTGGAAATTCGGAAGACATAAAAACCATTAACGCAGCGCCCGCCCATCGAATTCTGCACGCGTTTCTCACTCGTCAAAAACGGAGTCTCTCTCTGTGTCTGAATTTCTTGGCCACCGGGCGGAGGATTTGTCCTTGACCCATCTCCATTTCTCCTCAAATTCTTTGCGTAACGCCGGAGAGATCCATTTTTTTTAACATTTTCCCTCGATTTTCCGGCCGCCGGACACGGGATCCCGTCCAAGACAATCGCCGGAAGTGATGGTTGGGGTAAAGGGTCTGAGATACAGATGGGGTTTGATGGTGGGGGCWCTCGTCGCCATTTTTGTTGCTGTAGCTATGACTTCCAGAACCGCCCCCATGATTTCGCTCTTTGGCCTCACCAATAAGCCCTGCCATTGTGCCCATGTACGTTTCTTTGAACCTTAAGTTGTCTCTCTGGTTATGCCTGATTGCTGAGAAACTTAGATATTAACGAAACCCCGCTGTAGACTTCTCATCTAAGCTCAGCACTTCACTGCATTTTTCAAGTTTTCTTTGAATTGAAACCTCATTCTCTATTGTCTTCTTGTCCTCTGTTGGGCTGCTGAAACTGAGAGTTATGTTAATCAGGATAATTTGGAAATTTGGTTCGGATTGATTGATACTTGATGCAATTTTAGGTTTCTGGCTTTGAATTCTGGAACTGATATCTTCTATCTTCCACTAGTGAAAATGAGATTTCATTCATTTAATTTGTTTGCCTCTTAATGCACAGGATGCCATCAAGTACAGCGGTATTGTGGAGGATTGTTGTTGTGATTATGAAACTGTAGATCGATTAAATGAGGAAGTGATGCATCCGGCCCTTCAGGAGCTTGTTAAAACTCCATTCTTTCGCTATTTCAAGGTTTGCTTATGTTCCATAGGCTGATTCTGACGAACTGACGCTATATGTATCTTGTTGTATTTTGGACCTAAACCTCAATTTGAAAGAAACCCTTCTGCATTACTTTATGAAATGAAGCTGTCATAATCTAGAAGCAAAGATAGGATATTGAAAGTCAAGAATTTGATTTCAATCTCGAGATAGAATTCTCAATCCAATATTCTCTGGTGTCAAGGGTTTATTTATTTAGGATTGGAATGAAATGATTCTCTCTTCGCTGCAATGCACTAGCATTGAGGTGAGGGATTGAGAGGAATTCTTTTGTTTGTAATTTCTCAGTCTACAAGAACTTCATGATACATGAGAATATTTTGAAATTTAGAATCAATGTGGTATATAGTTTGTTGTGTTTAATACATTCATACTGCATATTGTAATATACTCATACTTTTTGTTATATGCAAATCTAGCTTGCTGACATGCCAGTTGCCAATGCTTGATCATCACAGGTTAAGTTGTGGTGTGATTGTCCCTTCTGGCCTGATGACGGTATGTGCCGATTGCGAGATTGTAGTGTTTGTGAATGCCCAGATAACGAGTTCCCTGAGTTATTTAAGAAGCCTCCTATCCTTTCATCCGAGGCCTTTGTTTGTCAAGAGGGAAAGCCCCAGGCCACTGTGGATCGTACTTTAGATCGTAAAGCTTTCAAAGGTTGGACTGAAATAGACAACCCCTGGACCAATGAGGATGAGACAGATAATGGTGTGTTATATCAAAACAAACCCTTCAGTGAAAACATTGGTTATTATGTTGTTTGGTCTCTTATTTGTGTTCAATTGATCTATTTTTACCAGCTGAGATGACATACGTAAACCTTCAATTGAACCCTGAACGCTACACTGGATACACTGGTCCATCTGCTCGAAGGATTTGGGATGCTATCTATTCAGAGAACTGCCCAAAATGTAACATCTCGTCCTCCCTCTCTCTCTCTCTCTATGTAGCTTTTTATTTATGTTTTCATCGATCAGTCTGTCTCAAACATACATTTATGACAAAATATACTCAAAATCTTTAGAGTGGAAGAGTAAAGAATAGGGACTATGAATTCTGGAATTTATACTAACTGATAACTTAGCATAGCAGAGAATCTGCTTAAAAGTACTACAAAACGATCCCTCTTTTTCTCTTTAGAGTAGCATTTTTCTGTTATGGTCTCCAATTAGAACAACTGTGGCGGGTTATCAAGATCTGTTAATCAAATGTGTAATAAACCTTCCCTTATAGGATTCCTGATCTAAATCGACACTTACGTTCTGTTGATGATTTCTTGAAATTTAACCTACTTCACATTTCATCCCTGTTACAAATTTTTGCTTCTGGATTCTGTTCATTTGACGTTTGTTATTATAAAATATGATATATTAGTGTAATGATTTTGTGGTTTATAGATCTATAAAAGGACTTCTGGAGTTATATGAATATTGTATCATTTCAATCATGGACTCTATCTTATTTATTCCATAAATCCTGTCTGATATTTTAAGATCTTTTTATTTGTTTTCTTCTTCCAGATCCATCAGAGGAGTTATGCCAAGAGGAAAGAATATTGTACAAAATGATATCTGGTCTACATTCCTCTATTTCAGTCCATATAGCTGCCGATTATCTAATTGACGAGGCCAAAAATTTGGTACAGTTTCTATTTAGTGCAACTTCCCAACTGCCATGGTTGTTATAGTCTCCAGTAATTTGAAGTATTTTCCTTTGCTTTACAGTGGGGTCAAAATCTTACTTTACTGTACGATCGTGTCCTAAGATATCCAGATCGTGTCAGAAACTTGTACTTCACGTACCTCTTTGTTCTCCGAGCTGTTACGAAAGTGAGTAGGAACTCTGGTGGGCAATAATGGATATATATCTTTCTTAATTGTTGTTAATTCATTGGTATTGTATATATTTATGCTGCTGTAAATTTAATGCATCCACTGTTGGTTGCATTCTCATTGCGGATGCATATACAGGCCACGGAGTACTTGGAGCATGCCGAGTATGATACCGGTAATTTGAACGAAGACCTGAAGACACAATCCTTGATGAAACAGCTGCTTTTCAATTCTAAATTACGAGCTGCTTGCCCCCTTCCATTTGATGAAGCCAAGTTATGGAAAGGTCAAAAAGGACCAGAAGTGAAGCAGCAAATACAAAATCAATTCAGAAACATCAGGTTACTTATTTTAGGCCACACCCAATTTCCTTTAATGAAATGCTATGCAAGTAGTAACTCTCTTCTCTTATGTCATGCAGTGCACTGATGGATTGCGTCGGATGCGAGAAATGTCGACTTTGGGGAAAGCTTCAGGTTCTTGGTCTTGGTACTGCATTGAAGATCCTCTTTTCTGGTGATGGTCAGGAACACTTGGATCTGGATGTAAGTAATTCTGCATCAACTTCGATATCTTTTCATCTTCTTTCTATGTTCTGAGAAGTCCTGGATTCTTTGGATCGAATTTGACATATTGAAACCAAAACTTGTAACATTTGATTGACAAGTAGAGTAGTCCTTTTGAACTTCTAGATGAACCATCTTCATGCTTCAACTTCTAGCTTGTTGCTGCACCGATGCTGGCGTTGTTTTGGAACATTTGTGATGTTTTCTTCTCAATTTTGACAAGTGTTGTCTAAAACTGCTGCTTTACATTGAGTGATTGACTATTAATAAAGCCGAGACTAACAGTCTTATTTACTTCATTTCCCTGGGTTGCAGTTGCAAAGGAATGAAGTAATTGCCCTCGTGAACCTACTCAATCGGCTATCGGAATCTGTCAAATTTGTTCATGAAGTCGGTCCATCAGTTGAAACCACAATGGAACAACAAAATGATGCTCCCACCACAGAAAGTTGCCCATTTCATAGAATGTGGGCATCCATATTTAGTAACTAGCCTAAACTTATAAGTTAAAATCTTTGTAACCGAGGAAAATGTTACATTTTTCACCTCCTAGCAAAAATATGTATCTCACAGCCACGAATAACTTAGTCGGGGGGGG